GATGCACCCCTACCTGTGGAGTTTCTCTGTTCTATCAACAACGCCTCCCTTCCGCCTGGAGAGCTTGCTCTCAAAGTGGGATGCTCTCTTATCCTTCTCCGCAATCTTGCTCCTGCTCGGGGTCTCTGTAACGGAACTCGGATGGTCCTTCAGAGGATGTCCGAACGCGTGGTGGAAGTCAGGCTGATTGGGGGCGACCATGACGGGGAAACAGCGCTCATTCCCCGGATCACGTTAACTCCCACCAACAGCACCGAATTTTCGTTTCGATTCAGTCGGCGTCAATTTCCCGTCCGGTTGGCCTTTGGATTGACAATCAATAAAGCCCAAGGCCAATCTGTCAAGTATGTTGGTCTTGACCTTCGTGTCCCTGTGTTCTCACATGGGCAGCTATATGTTGCTCTGTCAAGAGCTACTTCAGAGCACCGTATAAAGGTTTTATTACCAGATGACTCCCTTACTTCAACGACAAAGAATGTAGTATACCCCGAAGTATTAATTGACTAGCTCATTTTATTATTTGGAGTGTGAGAGAGGTCTGATTGACAGATGACGCCGTGCTGCAAAGTTGGTCAAACTTTGGAGCACGGCGTCATCGTGGCTGTGGAGATTCGCGAATTCGCCAAATATGTGCAAATGCGTATCGAACTTTGTGCTTCTGCCAGTATTTATTCCATTCAACCTCGCCCTTCCCATGAATGCACAGGTAGATCAGCCTCATTAAAGTAATCCTCTCTGTATGCTCGCTCTCAGCTGGTAAAACACCCCTTGGCCAGGGTCGCGTCAAGGTCGCACAGTTCTGCGAAATGGCTGGTGCGACCCTGATTTTACTTTCTAAATGGAGGAGTATTCATCGCTCCTAGGGCTCGAATATTCCACGATATCCATGTGGTCAGCATATGGCGTGGATGTATAAAACTCGGCACATTTGTTCTGCAATTTTCCGTCCTCTTCTTCGATTCACAATGCCGTCTGGAAACAACTGGTTTGGCATGGCATACCTCACGAATCCACGCCAAGTGGGCAAATCGAAAACCTGGTTCTTCACTGCCAGTATGTTCCTACGTGCTGAGGGCGAGGGCGAGGAGAAAAAAAACTCATGGAATCTCTGGCTGCCTTCGCTATTTTGATGAGGGACATTTTGATATTGTTCCTCTCGGTCTTTACTTTATGAACGCATGGGTGAGTCGTCTCTTTCTCTCTGTGTGCAGGCTAACAAGTAAGAATTATTGCTAGGTCGGTCAAAACAACAGCGAGTACGACTTGGGCCCTGGCTTGAGTGATGCAGATAAAAAAGATTATGCCTTTGTCAGCGACATCATTTGGGTGCGTGTGTTCACTCATCTTTAGCCTTCCATTGCTTATGTGTTAACAGCTCATTCCCCTTCATGAGATTGTCTATCCAGAGGTCGATGCCGACTCGATTGCCTCGACGCCCGACAACGACAAGCCCCTGGAGCCGGAGGTTCGCATTCCAAAAATCAATACAGAGCACCCGCCCTACATCGTTTTCTCCGGCCTGCCCTTCAACGGCAACAAAGAAAAAGGGACGTTCGACATCGACATTGGGCAATACACCCAGCTTTCGAAAGGTGGTCCACTTACTGTGTTGCCTGCCTCCTGTTCGATCATCGACTCTCCGCGTTGGAACAATAAAAAACCTGTTCCCTACCCTGGGAAGTTTGTATCGGCTTCGGGACATGTGGTAGCGATGGAGAACAAGCAAGTTAACGGTTCGCCACACAAAAAGCGCTTCAAGATCATGGTTGACAATGTTGTCTACCTTGGGAACAACGACCCTTCGACGCCAGGTAAGTCTTACTTGCATTCCGGTCACTCCATATCATTTGGCTGACACTATTGTAGCGACCTCATCGTCGAGCAAGCGGAAGATTCCTCCTACATTTGACGGTACTCCTTCTTGGGTCAAGCGTCACAACAATGGAGGCGCTCCGTCTTCTTCGCCCAGTGGCTATTGACGAAAAATTTACTTAGATAGATCTTACACTGAATTTTGCTTGCAAAGAATGCATATTCATTTCTTTTTTGAGAGCGAGATCTTCAGTTACGGACATCGACTAGATTTAAATTTATTCAAAGCAGATATTTGATGTCCAAGATGACCCAAGTCCGTAGCGAAGCACGGGTTCATGCTAGTCGGATAGAAACGGTAGCGGCCGGGCCAAAACAGGAAGTGCCATTGAAAGACTGGACTCGGGGGCGCCTTATCGATGTGGACCACTTAAAGGAGATGAACGTGGGATATCATACGTATACCTCATGTATTAAGCAGATGCCTCGAATCAGATTGCACCTGTTTATATCCTTCTATTTCCCAAGCTTTTTCCCATCGACAGCTTTACTAACTTACTAATAATAAGTTAATGGGCTCCACATTTCCTTTTGTTGGTGCAGTGTTTCCCGGCTGACTCCGGAGAACCGGGATTCGAATCATTTTCAACCTCGCCGATCAGCCGCTCAACACCCTCTCAAAAGGCAGGCACTCTTGCGCCATCTTTCTTCACTACACCCATCAACCCCCTTCTTTACTCTGTCCTCTGACCCCATCTCGGGCATCGGCCTCCCCTACACACTGCTTCGTCGAAAGGAAAACCTGCACCTGGGCGGAAATGAACGTGGGATATCATACGTATGCGTGTATAAATAGCAGCAGTCCGTTTTCTTGATTTTTGTGGTAGCAATTGCAGCTATTTGAGTCTACTTCACCGTTCGTACAGAGTCGTCGTTCAGTCGGTCACTTGAGGAGCCTCGATGAGTGTTTTGTCGGTTCCCAGGCCGTTGGAATGTTGAAGTTGGGAGTCAACGCAAGTTTGGGAGACACCCGATTATCTGGGCTTTTGGTGAACATGGTCTGTTATAGCTAAGAAATCACAATATTATGAGTCGGAGTCAATCTCCGAGAAACCAAGATGTGTAGAACGAAGGGCGGCGCGCCGCGTGAGATCGCCCCGGAAGATGCTGGGACGTGATCAAATCCGACCCGAGCAAATGACCACGAAATACGACATAACGATAACTTGCTCAGTTCCTGCAAATACCGACGCTCGGAACTGCAAAATTTATGTAGCGCCTGGATCATCGCACGAATCTCAAAGAGAACCTAAACCTGTCTTTGGATTGTAACTTCGCACCAATTGCAATGGGTTAACTCTCGTACCGTCAATGGGCGGCCCACCTTTTCATTATATGGGTGGCCCACCCGGGCCCTTGACTCAGGCACCTCACGTCAATACCCAGTCTACAGCGATCATGCTCGCAGTTGCGCGCTATAAAACCCCGCGACGTAACAACAACGATATTTCAAACACTACTCATAGCCCGCCCAGGTCAACCCCTCCCCTAAAAAGAATTCTGGAGGTCGAATACGGACGTGAGGAGTTGAACCCCTACAACTACTTTAACTACTTCAATTTTCTTACTTAATTCCCAACTTGAAATACAGCGGTGCACGCAGCACCACACACTACGTCCGCCTCCTTTACTCATTTCGTCCTTGTATGTGAGATAGAAATAAGGTATTTGAACTGCAAGAGAAAAAAGGGCTGAATTACTACTCAGTGCGGACGTAAGGAGTTGAACCCCGATTACTTAATTTCTTCGCTCCATGGAATAGAGTACGGAGGTGCACCTCGCACCACCTCCGCTTGCTATACTAATTTCTGCAACTCAGATTAGCCTCGAGTTTACGCTGAACCACGAAGAGAGAAACAAAAGAAATCTCCGGCCTGCCACAGTGCGGATGCAGGGAGTCGAACCCCTTCAGCTGCCTCAAGTTTTTCGCTATCAGTCGAATAAAATGCAGCGGTGCACGATGCACCACGTCCGCTTGCTAATCTCATTTATTTTCTCTCATAAGTGAGATGGTAATAAGGTGCTCAAAGCACAGGAGCAAAAACAATTCTGGAGAGCGAATGTGGACGTGGGGAGTCGAACCCCGGTCGCTGTTTCAATTTTCGGTTTTTTAAGGCATGGCATGAAATGCAGTGGTGCACCGTGCACCACGTCCGCACTCCCTTTCAGTTCCTTACTTCCCCACTAAACGCAAGAGAAAGGGCCCAGGCAGACTAAAAAAAATGATTTCTGCTGGAAATGCGGACGTGGGGAGTCGAACCCCAGCAACTGCTTCATTCCAGTACACACGATACATGGAGTGCAGCGGTGCACCGTGCACCACGTCCACTTCCTGTGGTTGTTTCTTCGAGCTGTTAAGTAGGAGAATTTTATTGGTGCTGTGAGGTGAAAAAGAGGCATAAGATGGATCTGAGCCAAACCCGAGTCAAACCTTAAATTCAACTGGATGAAATTGGAGGGATGATTGAGGGCTTCCGTTGTGCTGTTGAACTGTTGGATAGCGAGACAAGAGGGAAAGGGGGGGAAAAACGGCCTTTAACGATACATGCGGACGCGGGGAGTCGAACCCGACAGCTGCTTTAATTTTCAGGTTCAGTTACACCGGATGAAATGCAGCGGTGCACCATGCATCACACCCGCTTCCTACTCTCATCCCTCAAGCTGCTAACTGAGACGATGTTGTTGGTGCTGTGAGGTGAAAAAGGTGGGCAGATGTCTCGGAGTCAAACCTTTTTACTGGATGGAATTGTGGGTATAATTGAGTCCGGATTTGAAAGCAGCTGTACAGCTGGGCGATGCAAAAATAAAGAACAAAACAACGTGGATATGAACGATGCATGCGGACGCGGGGAGTCGAACCCCTTTAACTGCTTCAATTTTCGTGTCTGTATACCCGAAACCAATGCATGCAGCGGTGCCCCGTGCACCACGTCCGCTTCTTACCCTTGATCCCTCGAGCCGCTAACTAGGATGATTTCTATTCCTTCGTGTAGTGAGGCAAAAAAGGTGGGCAGATGTCGAGTCAAACCTTTGGTTATTGCTGGATGCAATTGAGGGGATAATCCTGTTTTGGAAGTGGTTGAACTGTTGGATTGCGAGACAATAAAAAGAATACGAAACTCAATATATGCGGACGCGGGGAGTCGAACCCCGGCAGCTGCTTCAACAGTTTTTCAAACAAGTCGCGAATAGAGTGCAGCGGTGCACCGTGCACCACGTCCGAACTCCTTTCAGTTCCTTACTTCCTTACTGAACGCAAGAAAAAGGGCCCAGGCAGACTAGAAAATGATTTCTGCTGGGAATGCGGACGCGGGGAGTCGAACCCCGACAGCTGCTTCATTCCAGTACATACAAAACATGGAGTGCAGCGGTGCACCATGCACCACGTCTGCTTGCTACTCTGGTTTACTTGGACCTCCAAGTGTTGGGGCTGCAAGTCACCGCCCAATGGCTACCTTTGTTTCACAGAATGGAATTGTCCAGCATTGTCGGGATCATTGAGGGCAGTGTCTGTCATGTAGCACGTCTTCAACTCATGATTTATGTAAAATGGGTTGAATTGTTGAATTGCAAGACCAAAAAAAAAAACCAACTCTAAAAGCTGCATGCGGCGGGAAGTCGGACCCCTGGTAGCTGCTTCAATTTTTGGTTTCCATTACTCAGTAGACGGCATGAATTGCAGCGGTGGACCGCACAGCACGACCGCTTCCTGTACTCATTTCTTCCTTCTCATACCTGTCCATTGCGTTTTTTACTCCCCGGAACACGGCGGTTGCACGGCGGCGGACGTGTCTGCCACTATTGCATCAGGTCACGCTTTTCAAAATGCCAACCATTTGAATGCACCCCTATTGTGTCAGGTCATGCTTTTCAAAATGCCCGCCATTTGAACGTTACGATGGAGACAAATATGCAAAGGAGGGTGGGATATTGGTGATCTATGGTTCGTGTTGTTGAAAACCTGAGAACGGGTTTGTGTGGCTGATACTCTGGCAAAACACATAGGTCGCACTTTTCAAAATGGCAGCCATTTGAATGCACCTCTATTGCGTCAGGTCGCGCTCTTCAAAATGCCAACCATTTGAATGCACCTCAGGTCACACATTCAAAATGCCAGCCATTTAAATGCACCTCTATTGCGCCAGGTCATGCTTTTCAAAATGTCCGCCATTTGAACACACTTCTATTGCGCCAGGTCATGCTTTTCAAAATGGCAGCCATTTGAATGCTGTGCCCTCGAGACCATATTGCTCTTCACCAACCAACTTAGGGGTGTGTTCCCGGCATCAGTTTAAATTCCCTGATGTATGCCAGTCACAGTTGTTATATAATCATCGGAGTTTGAACTGTTCCCGACATTGCACAGAGCCATGGTGGGCCTTTGTACGCGATTTTCTCGGATTTTCAGACCCAATCAACTGAAACAAAGACTTCAAGTCACGCCCTTGATTGCTCGAGTCTCTTGTTTTCATATGATATGAATAATTAGGAATCTTATTTATTTAAAACTAAACATATATTATGTGGCCCCAGCCCACGCCTCCGACTCCGACTCCCTTGATCTCGCCGCTCATAAGGCAACTAAAAGACCGAAGAGGGCTGCAACGGGCACTCAACAGCCAAGAATACTGCTTCTATCGCCACCGCCGAAGCTCGAGAGGATGCGGATAAGCCAAAAAGGCCCGTGGCCGTCCCAAAAAAATACAGAACCTCAGGCCAGCGTGGAGCCAAAGCAGACAGCCAAGGATCCCGAAGTGCCAATAGATTTAGAAATGGGTGTGCTCATCGAGTACGGCTTGCTGCGAATTCTGGCGACACTCATGCTCGTCAAGCTGGACCCACACCCTTTGACCTTGATCTTGGCCGTTGAATCCGACACTGAGATACACGACGCCCTCTTCCCGGGTGTTGGTGCCTTGACGACCAAATGGGGTAAGTCAAGGTTTTTGGCGCGCTGTACCTATGCACACGTCCTTGGCAAATCAATGCCAAATTTGATGCAGCCAAAATCAAGGCTTGCTGAGGTTGAATTGGAATCCTCACTCCATTTCAAAACCAAACACAGCTATTCCAAAGCCAAACACAGCCATCCTATTCCAAAACCAAACACATCTATTGGATAACCAAACACAGGGCATAGGCTTGTGAACCAATGCCTCACAATGGCATTTTGAACCCCATGCCCCACAATGGCATTGTGAACCCCGTGACCCACAATGGAACTGACCATCTGGTGCATTAGAATGTATTTTGGTCGGGTTCAGCAGGGATAAGGGGGCAGTAGTTGACATCTGCTGCCTCACGCAGTGCGCCATGTGTGGTACTCATTGAAGGACACGACATGGGAGCATGAGTTTTCCGAAAATTTGAGAAAGCACATTGCGCACCTTGAGTCTCGTCCCTCGTCATCATATTAGCTCTCGGCCCTCGTCGCTGCCGTTGAGTTTCTTGTTGTCGCCTTCGCTCTCGTCCTCGTCCTCGTCCTCCGCTCTCAGGTCCCTCGTCGTTCTAACAGGTTCAAGTACCGACCAGCCTTGCCACTTGATGTACCGTTGCGCGCGGCATCTCACGGGTTAAGCATGCCAATGACGATACTGTATGCGCTGGAGAATTTGAGCGGGAGGGTTGAATGGATCCATAACAAGACCCTCATTATCCATATGAGTCATGTAATTTGAAGTCGCTTATTATGCTTATCATGGAAAAGCTACTGGGTGCCGCGGAATTGGAGCGTGTGTGGATGCCCCTCTTCGAAGAAATTCTCCATCGTGTTCCTGGGGTAAAAACATTGGAGGTCATTACTAATAAATTTACGTCTCACCTGAATTTCTGAATGCCTGTTCGCCTAGATCGTGTTTTGTGGACCGGAAACGTGTGTCGAGCCTTCCAAATACGCGAGAAATTACAGGTGTGTAGTTTATCACCTACACGTCTCCGTCTGCGTATGACATGCGCTTGAAGTGACTGCCGCTGTAGAGGACGCAAAACCTTCGTCAACGAGTAAGTGGGTCTATCTCGGCCGTACTTCCACTGTACTCCGCCGAATCGGCACCTACCATGTATTCGTCTCCAGAAAAAGCAACTTCGAAATCCCAAATCTCGCCATCGCCTTTAATTCTGGTTTGGGTCAAGTAGAGATCGAGTCGTGAGTGGAGACGGTCAGGGTCCTAATATCGAGGAAGATTCCGAGCGTCTTAACTGTACGCGCTCGCTTCTACAGATTCCTGCTGGTTGTATTGCTAATGATGTTTTTAGTCATATAACCGTGCGGAGGCTGAGGCAGACGCCACGCTTCTCCGGACTCTGGGGGCGCAACTGCATTGCGCTTTGGGTCCGCGTATAAATCCATGGGGAAGTCTCAAACTTCATCCCCGGCCCAGCAAAATCTACGGTTTCTGGTCCGATAACGGGTGGCTCGCCGGTGGCTTCTTCACCAATCAAGTCCACCGCGCCCGTGATGAGACTGACCTTCGTTATGGCTGTATCTAAACACTGTGTAACAAGTACTCGTATGTTGCTGTGTCTTCTGTTCCTCAGTTCTCGGTCCAGCGTCGATTGCTATTAGTGCCGGCCCTAAATGATTTTATACGGTGTAGGGTGAAATTGCCGCTGCTGCCGCTTATGTGCCGCAGATTGCCGCTGCGAAATTTCGAATTGCCGCTAACTGCCGCAGACATGTCACGGATTTTGTCACGCTGCCGCAGACGGGTAAGCAATTGTGCGGTGAAAAATCGAAATCTAGGAGAATGAACCCTATGTTAGCACAACACATTGTGAGTTCAGAATGACAGGGATTTTATGGTCAAGTTGTCATTCACCTTCAGAAATAAACTATAGGGGTACGGTGCCTGCGGTTGAAATTGTTGTACTTTCGAGATGAAAATAGGGTAATTGGAGTGTTACCTCCCTTACAAGCGGCCGAATTTCGTTGGCGATTGATCCAGAGGGGACAAAGGAGGTGATTTGATAAAATTAACCTTGACATGTAAGTTGTACCGCGGCACTGTACATAAAGAGAATGTCATTCAGGGAACGTGGAAACATTACAGGGCAGTGGATCCAAACTCAACTAAAGGCATAGACGATTCAGAATCCGGTAGATGATGAGAAATACAAGGTGAAAGTTGGCAAAACCTATCCCACATAAGGCCTAGTTTAATAATGTTCGTTAACCAGCTTCCACGGCATTGTTTCACGCAATCTTAGGGTCGAATACAGTACATTGGGGTCCAAATACTCTAGTGGTGCAAGAGTTTCAGTGATGTGGCAGCTAATGTGGTAATTGTGGTTGAACTCGTGTTTCTCCCTTGTCGACTATTTCTTGAGTATCTCGGTTGCCAGGCAAAAATGAAACACTTCTCTCATGCGGTTAATAGTCGTAGTTTATGTCCGGCGACACACCATTTCCAAAATATAGTACCTGAAGGTTTTTGAAGTAAAAGGGAACTTTGCCGCAGAGAGTGGCTGTGCTGCCGCAGAAGGTCGTACAGAATTAGACTGGGAGTGGGTGTGAAGCATGGGAGAATCACAGATCCGGCAGAATATTCATAGACTACTCGGATTGTTCAGTTTCAGGATCTCTTCAACGCACTGTATTACGGTGAAAGCGGTACAGTTGAACCAGTGGTTGAACCATGGTTGAATGTCGGGGTTCCAGTGAACCAAAGATTATAGTAATGGGCGGAAGGCCAAATCATTTTTAGGAGAATACTGTACCTCTCTGTATGGCTGAAACATAACGCGTAACGCAGGCCCGTTTCGGTTTACAAATCTTCCTTTTATGGCAACTGATGGGCCAACAATTGCCATACTATTGCGGACTGCTTAGTTGGCCACCCAAGCTAGTTGGCCACTTGATGAATAAATGACTGTGGGCTCAACTATATGGAGACTTCGCACTCAGGGGAGGGAGTGGGACATGTGAGGCCAGTCCATGCCAAATTTCGAGGCAAAGTGATGGGTTGATCCAAAGTTGTCGACGGTTTGATCGCCGGCGGACGCGTGAGAACATCATTTTCTTAACGCCCGGCAGCCTGTTACGCCTCTTTCTCCACCAATTCTCCGTCAATCCACAAGTTTGGGGGCTCGTTCTGTTCCCCTGACTCAGGGTGTCAACTTCAATCATACGAAGGCATGTACCCTGGGACTGCACTGGCCTGAACTGTCGATGTAGGCTTTATTTTGATCTGCAGTGGTGAAAGCTCGCCTCACGCATAGCAAACC